TAGCCATTCACAGTCTTTGTTTAATCCTGAGTTGATTGTGTCAAACTTGAAGATGAACTGTAGCTCAGCAGTTTCTCTTTGAAGTCTGGTCCTGAAGTTTTTTTGCTGCAGGATGGCTACCTTTAGATCTGCAATTGTGTGTCCAGGGAGATTGAAGTGTTCCCCTACAGGTTTTTGTACAGCTCTTTCTGGCTCCTTGATCCCTGCACTCTTGCCTCTGAGATGAAGAGCTGAGCTGAGCACCCCGATGGAGTCGGCCACCTGGCATATTTATATCCCCTCCTGGCTTCTTCTAAGCTGGAGAGTCACATGGCCAGTGGCCAGCTGTGTCTTTGGCCTCCAGAGGTCCATTGTTCCCTGGAGCTTTGCTCATTAGCATGTCCATGGGCAAACATTCCTGGCCCATTGCTCTGCCTCAGACAGAGAATCTTTCAGCATCAACATAGAGTACATACTTATAACACACACAAACATTATACAGGTATACGAAGAGCATGTACGGAATCCGTAGACAATAAGCTTTTGTTTGACACTTCACATGGCCCCCTTTCTATCAACTTTTGGGACAACCCCCTCCTCCCCCATGGGCGCAGCAGTGACCTGTCTGTTTCCCTTAAACTCCGGTAACGTGATAAACATTAATGGCTACTAGCCAGGATGGGTAAGGAACGGTGTCCCCAGTCTCTGTTTATCAGAGGGTGGAGATGGATGGCAGGAGAGAGATCGCTTGATCATTACCTGTTCGATTCACTCCCTGTGGGGCACCTGGCATTGGCCACTGTTGGCAGACAGGATACTGGGCTGATTGAACCTTTGGTCTGACCCAGTCTGGCCATTCTTATGCTCTTATACTTGGGAGGATATAAGGAAGGAGGCAGCATCCCCAGAAGTTCTATAGGGAACAAGAAAATGGCATTCTCGTAAAGTCTCTAGGTAGGTATCTGGTTTTCACCCAGATTGTTCATTATTCGGGTCCCCCGTCCAGTAAAAAAAAACCCAGAAAATACCAGACATGTGAAATGTCCAGTATTTCCTATTTCCCTTGGACGGAAGCCCAGTGGGGACAATTTTCCCCTGCCACATCTGGCAGGGGTAGGGAAGTGAGGAGTGCGGCAGAGGCGTAGTGAAGGGGGGGCAGAAGGGGACACTTGCCCCCAGGCGTCATGCTAGGAGGGCACTGGGCTGGGGTGGGAGCAAGCATATGCTGCTCTAGCTCATGTGACGCTTTGAGCAGAGACCCGGGAGCTGGCCACGTGATGCCTCCCTCTACACACGGGGAACCCAGGCAGCCAGGCTGGGCGGCAGGAGCGGTGACTATAAGAGTAAGATTTCCTTACCCGGCCATCCTGTTCCTCCGGTGCCTGGCTCTGCAGCAGGAGAGGAGGTGGGGGGGTGTGATTTGATTGGGGCGGAGCGCTCCTGGCGCTGGGGATGCCTGGCTCAGGGGGAGGGGTGAGTGCACTAGGATGGGGGACACTGGGGCTATGTCTACACTCCCGGCTTCTTGTGCTAGCAATATGCAAATGAGGCTAAGCGTGGAATATTGCTGAGCCTCATTTGCATACCTAATGAGCCACCATTTTTTTCAGAAGAAGATCTTGCGCAAGAAGGAGCATCTACACTGCCCCTTCTTGCGCAAAAAAACCCCTCTTGCACAATGCCATTCTTCCTGAAAAGTAATAGGTGTAACGAAATTAGGCTCATTAGGTATGCTTAGCCTCATTTGCATATTACTCGCACAAGAAGCCACAAGTGTAGACATAGCCTGTGAGGGGCCTGGCTCTGGGGGAAGGGTGAGTGCATTGGGATGGGGGGGCACTAGGGCGCCTGGTTCTGGGGGAAGGGTGAGTGCATTGGGATGAGGGGGCACCGGGGCGCCTGGCTCTGGGGGAGGGGGGGGTGCATTGGGAT